GGGGGGTCTCGTTGGTGATGTGGTGGCATAGCTGTGTTTGAAGGGTGACCCTCCTATTCCCAGTTTCTTTATATAAGGCGTTTCTAATCGTGTTCGTCCCCTTTCCCAGATAATGTAGGTGACGATGAATTAACGAGATAATAATGATATTAATGGAATTTTTAACATGGATCACGTTACAAATGATAGATATTGAAATCATTTAAGAACCACCTGTTTGAATTCGTGGTCGTGCAATTCACCCAGCAGATGATCCGTTGAATTTATTCAATTTATAAGTCTAATTGTCGTAGCATCATTTTTGTCATGCGGAAAAGGATTCCCTGTTTTTCTTAAACACTGCGCCTCTCATTTGAAACGTTATTGTTCACTAGAATGGTAAGAATGACAGCTTTTTTTTCATGCAATAATCACCTGTTTTTAGGCTTAAAAAAAAAAAAAAAGATAATTCTTCCATTACTAATTATACTTTTCGATGCTGTTACACGTATATCTATTTTTTAAGTGTCATTTTCTTGCTATCAAGGAAATCCACTTTTTTGCTAGGATAGAAAGAATTTTTAAGATAATTTCTTAGTAAGAACGATACATTTCTTCGTGTGACAGTTTGATAACATGACCAGAAAGGGAAAACAAAATTCCGGCTCTAACCGTGATCGTAATAATAGTGGAATTGGAAGTGAAAGTAAAGGTGGCAACCGTAACCGTACAAGAAGTGCGAACTCAAGTCATAGAGGACGCGGAGGACGTGATCGTGATAATAATAATGATCGTCGTCGCAATGATGTTCATAGACCTCCGCCAACACATCTCAGAGTCCCGGAAATAAAGTAAGCGCAACAAGAAACGACCATGGAAAATTTTTGTTCTTCCGAATTATCATATAATGGTATCGACAGAATAATTTCAATCACTAATAGTGAGATGATTAAAACCATATGGAAAAAAATTTTAAAAAAGAAAATGATTGGGAACAAAAGGATGCTAGAATTTACATTAGTTCAGCGCTAGTAGCGACAGATCATCAACTTTCCTGGCCAATAATGTAATAAAAATGCTGGAAACGTTGGTGCAACGTAATTTTTTTGCTGATAATCAAGTTAGCGCAGAAGAATTATTGAGAAGGGAACGATATGCATTTATTCCGTCTTCGTAAGTGTTGATTTTTTTGACGAACTTATATTTACTAGGCGCCAATTCACATCATCTCATGCTCTTTTAAAATATTTCCAGGCTACGAATATTTTTCTTGATAATAGTACGTCTTCTCACAGAAACCTTACGTTGTATCAAAGAAGCATCTGTCAATGAAACAATGCATAAAATTGCTGACGATTTACAAAATCAAAGACTCAATATCAACAATACATTCAACAACGACCATTGTCTGCCACTTCAACGGACCCGTTAGTCAAAAGTTTGGAAACCAGGAATTATTTATTCGTGATATTGGAGAAGGAAATGAATAATATGTATAAATTGTTAAATAATGGACGTATTAACTTAATTGATGGACAAGATCCAAATAAGAAAGAATCGATTTCAAGATTGAATTCATTAAATCATTATAAAGACCTAGCCAGAAAAGTTGACGCGACAAGACTTTATTATCCTCCCGATGAATTATCAAATTCTGGCAAAAGACATGATAATGATTTCGAAAAAATTTCAAAAATCTCGGTCATTCCTACAAAAGAAGAAATATTATGTGAATACATGCCTTTTTTGCCTTTTACAGTTCCTGATGAACCTCATTTTTTACCTGATGGAATAGCTAAATTACATGATATACAATTTCGTTTTTTAAGAGAGGACATGTTAAACCTATTCGTGGAAGTATATCGATCCTAATGGCTTTATTAACACAAAATTGGAACTCCTCTTCTAACAACACTATTTTTCAAAGAATTAAAGAAAATTCGAAATTAGTATGCTGATTTACAAGTATACCACTTACATCAAGTTTGTAAATGTTACCTGTGATAGAAGAAAAGGATTTTCTTGTACTATAAGATTTACCCCTCCAAGAATGCGCGGTGCAAAAACCGAAAGAAATAGAAAAAAATATTGGGAACGAAATAAAAAGTTATTAAATGGTAGTTTAATTACTTTATTGCTACCAAACCAATATGCCAAAATAGCAAACTAATGAGACTACCAGTGGAAGCACTTCTATCAACAGCACCCAAATGTATTCACCTTATTTTGTTGTGGTAATATCAAGTAATGAGAAGGTCTTAGCTAAAATTCCTGATTATGCTAATATTAATATTAATTTTACAGATCTATCAATTTATCCTATTACATTTGAAATGGCAAATTCAAAAGTCCTTACAGAAAATAGATTTATGGTTGAATCAACTGGAACTATTCAAACTACAAATTTTTTTTCCTTCCCTTTGAAAAATATCTTACACCAATTATAATAATATTAATGATGAGAAAGGGAAAGATAATAATATATCAAGTAATGCAATAGATGTTGAAGTGAACTCCACTATATACTAGAGCACCTAGTTTTGAATTTGATTTATCAGATATATGTAGAAATAAAAATCAAAAATTTTGAAATTAAATGTTATAAAAACAGACAATTATGATGAAGCAGCAAAAAAAAATTAATAAAAGTTGCAAATTAGATGAAACTCAAGGTATATAGTAAGCAGTATTTTGTAAGATTTTTAAAAAAAAATTTACAAATCTATTTTTATAATTTTTTACATTAGCAAATGCATTAATCTCTGCTTTGATATGTGAAATTGCTTTAATTAAAGGATCATCTGGTATTGAAAAAATGGTAGTTAGTATTAAGATAATGAAAATATTATTGACCAAAGAAAATCAAGAAATAAAAATTGTTATTTTTACATCAAGCAAATGCTGCAAAGGAAAGTGTAAACAAATAAAGTATGTTAAATATTGATATAGTATATTTCAGATTTAATAGAATAAGAATAATTCATTATACTGTACCTTCAAAAATTGGTTAAGAATATGATTAGTAACAAATGGTAAGAATAGGACCAAATATAGTTAGATTAAGATTTTGAATAAAATTTGATAATATCAAAGAATTTTATCTTGAAGAAGTTTGCAGAAACTGCATTTATAATAGAATAGAATCCCATTTGATAGCACTATTATATGAGAATTTAAAAGAAATTGAAGATAAGTTAATAAATTCAAAGTACTTAATTCAAAAAAGGGTTGATATATAATAATATCTGATGAATAAAAAAAGAAAATTCTATGATAATTTTGTATAGTTAGATTTTCAATACTAAAAAAGGATTACAACTAAAAAAAAAAAACAGAAGAAATAACTTTTATTTGAGTAATAGATAAATAAAAATATTGAAATAAATAAAAGAACATAGAAAGTATTTTCAAATCTACCACAAAAAAAAATAAGAAAATAAAAAGGATTTAAACTAAAATACATATGATACATTAAAGATAAAATAAAAGAAATCACAAATAAAAATGATAAAATACAAATTGATAATAAATATTATAATAGATAAAAGATTATATAATATTAAAAACTAATTATACCATAGAAGGATTGTTAAGTTCCTATTTAATTTGATAAATGTTAAGAATAGAAAGAAGAAAACTTACTGATTATAAGTTTGAAGTGAACTTATAGAAGAATTATCAAATTTACAAAATAGTCATAATAATCAATGAAAAGAAGAATATTGATCAACTTAATTTATATAATATCAAATTGATTATTAATATTATTATTATGCTAATATTAAATTATAAAATTAATTTTAAAATAATATTATTTTTTTATATGACACGTTATTCTTATTTTATTTTTAATTCTTTTATAATATATTTAACTTTTAAAACTTTATTTAAAGATTTAAAAATGTAAAATAATACTCCAATTAATATATTTGCACTTACTTCTAAAAAATGTCAACACCATTTTTTTGCTTTATTTGATATTGATCTAACTTTACCTAAAACTTTAAATTCTGAACTACACTATAATTTATATATTATATTAATTATCTAATTCATCAAAACATTACAGATTTTTTTTAAAAAAAATTTCTATTTGATTTGCTGATTTTAATATAAAGTTTTTATTATTTAACTTATGTAATATATTTTAGTATTATATATTGTAACTAGATTTTACAGTTTGCAGAAACTTTGTTTATTATTTGAATTAGTTGCTAGAAAAATTAGGTTCTGAAAATTTTTTAATAAAATTGAGATTTTTATTGCATTTTAGTTTTTGATTTTATTAGATTAAAATACATTAAGCTCTTAATTTAGTTAAAAATTTTTCAGAATTTGATTTTTTAGAATCCTTCCATTTAGCATTAAATAATTGTATAATTAATTCAATTAAACTTTAAAATTTCATTTATGATAAATAAAAATATAAAACTAAAATTTTAAAAACATTTAATTATATTGATAAAAAAGTAGTTTAATTTATTTTAATTATTTTTATTTTAATTTGTATTTTATTTTAATAATTGATTTTTTTGATTTTTAAATTTAATTTTTTTTAGTTATAGATTACATTTTTTTTTAATACATAGAATTTTATTAATAGATTTTTTAAATAGCAAATTAAAAAAATATATATAAAAAAAAATTATAGATATTAATTAAAATATATTATTTAAATTTAAATTTTTCTTTTAATAATTTTTTTTTAATTTGTTTTTTAATCTTATTTAATACACTTGAATTTTATATTTTTAAATTATAAATTTATTTTAATGATTTTTGTATTTTTAATTTAATTTTTATTTAATTTTTTTTAATAAATATTATTAAAATTGGTCAAAATTTAACAATAATACTAATAGCATTTTATATACTTTTTTAATGAAGATATACTTTTGAAGTTATGAATTATTTATTCATTTATTCACTTTTTTGCTTAATTTATTTTTTAGTTATACAAATCTTTAGCAATCTCTATATATTTTGATTGATTTTAATAATGCATCTTGTAAATATTGAATTTGAAGTTTATATAGCTAATTTATAAGCTATAGCTACAGTTATAGCTGCAACTGCAGCTATATTACTATGTTATCATTAGAATAAATTTAAGATTTAAACTTTCCTGTAGCAGTTTTACATTATGGTAAATTTAACCATTGTTAACCCTACGCTCAACCGTCGAACTTAGGGCAACTATGACTTAATAACAGGGAGTAACGTGCGAGAAACTACT